ATATATATATATATATATATATGTATATGTATGTATATTCTCTTCAACTGGTTTCCCCATCTTTAATTAAACGTTTCTGTATAAAACTCATTATTCACAGGTGTAAAAGAGTGACATAAAAAAGTGAAAAACAACCTAAATTTCTGAATAACTTGCTCCTAAATTGTGACCAGAAATGCTATTGAGCTCTTATTACTTTTTTTTTCCTCACTGATTTTTGCTAAATGTTTTTTATAAGCCCGTCGAAGGCGGGTCGTTTTAAAATATAATCTGCATCTGTACGTCCATAAACTTTCTCTTGTCCTGCCCATAACTTCTGATCGGATCAAGATAATTTAATGAAACCAGATGCACATATACATGCGTCACATACACTTTTCACCACCCCAGCTCCAAGGTCAAGATCACAAATCAATGTCAAATGTTATGGAAGGTATTTGCTCGTCCGGGTCATTGCTATAAATTCTAGTTTGTCGACGGGCGTATAATGTGTCGTCTCTTGCTTTAAGCATGCTGTACTACTTGTGGTTACTGTTTTAGAAACTGTGTTGTGTATGGATAATTATGATTAACATATCTAACAGCTCCTTGGAAAAAAATAGAACTTAAGTGGACACCAGAAGGACAGCCCAAGAACTGTGTGATATTAAAGCACCTTGTTTAGACGAGCTGTCAGGGCAACAAGCAGCACATGGCAACGTGATTTTAGAAAGATGATGACACCAATACTCACTTAATACAACTCTACATTTACTTACAATTTATCTTATTTTGCTCCAAAGTGCTGTATTAATTTAACCTTTCGAGTCACTTTACAATCTATATAATCACATATACACAGTAATAAGGATTACGATATTTTAGCTTTTGGAATGATCATAATTAATACATTTTTACTTACTATTTTAGTGTACAAGTTAAATAATAGTAAATATAAAAGGTTGTATGCTACCAGGATAATTTTGAATAGCTTTTTTATTCTTCAACACTGATTATAGAAACTAAAATATGAGTAATATTTTCACTTATCATTAAAAAGAGCAGGATAATTTGACTTATTTTTTTAACATGTTATAGGAGATATGATTTGTTTTTCTGGTTAAGCTTTAAAGGGCAAACAATGAATTAGAATGGCACTGCAGGCCACATTAGCAACTTTAATAATTATTTTAAAAAAATCATAGATAAAAAAAAGTCTAAATAATTCTCATATAATGATACATATGTAGCCTAGGTTATATTTTCTGTGTGCCTAATGTATTGTAGTTAATGTTCATATTGTAAGCATCAATCAGCACAGCCACAGCACATTTCCCCCCCTCCATAAGATATACACAGACGTAGGTTATTAGAGTACCTGTTCATGGACAGGTCTATATTCTCTAAATTGGGACACTCCCAGAAGGCGTTGGGTGAAACAGTCTCAATGAGGTTGGCTTGCAGGTAGAGGTACTGCAGCTTGCCCAGACCCCGCAGCATCCCCTCTGTCAGGTTCCTCAATTTGTTAAAGCCCATCTGGAGAACCTGGGGAGACAAAGACAAGTGGGATTATCCTAATCTCTGAAGAGCCGGTCCTTGCCAGGCGTTGTTCACTACAAGATGGAAACAAACAGAACAAACGGCTGACGGTTCAGTATAGCTAGATTTTCACATGGTGATCTAAGCCTCTTCGCTGCGTTGTGTTTACTCAGATCTTTCTTGTTCACTTTTTACCTCCTGGCACCGCTCCAGCAGCTCGGGTAGACGCGCAAGCATGACAGCTCATTATGGCTCGATTTGGTGAAACTGAATATTTCTGGAAGTCATCAATGAGTGGAAGTTGTTTTTCTTGTGTCTGTGTTTCTGTTTACATAATGCAAAAATTAAAAAAAAGAAGATATTTTAAACAAGCAGAAGAGGGATTAAAACAACGCTTTTGATTCTAGTTTAACATCTTTATACATAATTGTTCTCATTACTGTTTAAAAAAGATTATTGAAATTATTTTCAAAAGTCATTTGAAGTAAAATGTTTTTCTTTTCCACTTTGTTGCATCAGCCTCTCCTTTATAAACTATGCATCTGGAAACTAATGAGACAAAATGTAACTAGTTTTTTTTCTTTTGTGATTTTATTAGTTTGGGTCTCTGTTGGCATCATTTTTAATCCGTTTGTTTAATTCCCAAGTATCTCATGCAATTTACTTTTTGTTACATTTTTACTCCTGTATCTGTTTTAGCTTTTTTTATTGTTATTTGTGCGTTTGGTCTCTACGGTCTAATGTTCGGTTATCGAGTTAAAATGTTACTTCTAACCTACAAAGCCCTCAACAACCTAGCTCCATCTTATATTACAGATCTTATTGTTCCATATTTGCCCAACAGATCACTTCACTCTCAGACTGCAGGTTTACTTGTGGTTCCTAGAGTTTCCAAGAGCAGAATGGGAGGAAGATCTTTCAGTTGTCAGGCTCCTCTCTTGTGGAACCAATTTCCAGTTTCTGTCTGTAAGGCTGACACATTGTCCAATTTTAAAACTGGGCTTAATACTTTCCTTTTTGATAAATCCTATAGTTAGGGTTGGCTTGTTATGCTGCTATAGGGTTAGACTACTAGAGGACAAAGTGACCTCATTTCATCAAATGAATTGTTATAATTGAATAGTTTTAATTTGATAATATTTCTATCTTAACGTGATTCTTGACCTGCCATTGTGTAGCTGTTCCTCCTTCCTGTTCCTCTCAACCCAGCCGGTCGAAGCAGATGGCCACTTGTCCTGAGTCTGGTTCTGCTAAAAGTTTCTTCCTCATGCGGGAGTTTTTCCTTTCCACTGTCGCCTTCGTGCTTGACCAGGATGAGAGTTTTGAGAACGTCTCAAGCAGTTTGCTCCTGTTATTAACTTACTTTATATTTATATGGATGTTTCTGTGCAGTGCCCTGAGATGACTTCTGTTGTGACTTGGTGATATATACATAAATTGAATTGAATTGAATTGAGTAGTGTGTACTGGTATATGTTCTCCTTTAGTTGTGTCACCCTTCTTTTGCTTCATGCTAGTTATTATTGAAAAAGAGAATTTGTGTTTAGCTGACTAACTTAGTTAAATACAATAATAATAATAATAGTATTTTTTATTATTATCAGCATCATCACCAAAATCATCATCATCACCACCAAGAGTGCTTGGTTTATGTAACAGGGATGAATCTCAGCTGCTGCCACACTTTTACTTAATATCTATAAAACTGACAGCGGTCTGAGCTACAGCCATGTTTGTTTCTAAGGTCGATTTGCTTTAGCAGTGGGTGATAAAAACTATGTTCGCTGGTTGGTTGTATGTCATGTTCAAATACATCCTAAAACCATGAACAATAATCTTCACTTTGAGCTGCATCTTCTGTTTAGCCAGAGTCTTTATGATTCACATAAAGAAGTTGATTGTCTGATTTATTAGAGCGCAGAACTGTTGCAGTGTAGTGTTTAGACAAACTCTAATTGATGCAGTAAGAGTCTGTCTTTGATAAGCAGTTTTGTGATCTGAACCCAGGGTGTGTGTTTCACTTTTGAATTATAGCTGCTTTAAACACAGCACCATAATGTTTTACGCACGGTCACGTCATCAACTGGTTTACAATGAATCAAAGTTTTTATGTGATCATGTTTATCACAGAGAGACAACCATGTGTGCACACACAAACCCAGTCATTCTACTGGTTCATAAGATACAGCAGTTTGCTAACAGAGCCTAAGACTGATAGTTATTGATGAGTGGAATCAATTAAATATGTTTTACGTAAACAATATATTGTGTAATTTGGTTATTTACTGCCATAAAGGTGCCAGCAGGTGAACAGAAAAACAACAATACATGTTAATTTAAATGAATGAAATCAGATTCATTAAAGCATTATTAACTTTAACAATAGTCAAGGATTCAAGGTTCTTTATTGTCATTCACATCACATGTGGAACATGAGGTGGAATGAAACTGTACACACAGGGTCCCAGTTACATCCAACGATAGCAAAAAATATAAAGTGTAAGAAGAAACAGTAAAGGATTTAAGATATAAACTAAGATATACACAAATGCCAAACAGTACGCTAAAAGTCAAGTCAAGTCAGATTTATTTATAGAGCACATTTAAAACAGAAACTGTTACCAAAGTGCTTAAAAGATCTAAGATATACGCTAAACACTAATAGTGCAAAACAATACACCGAACAACAGCAGCACGATTCTCATAGGTTCTGTTCGGCTATAATGTACACGCTTAATGCAAGCGGAGTCGGGCTCGGAGCCCCAAAACTAACATAAACTGGGATTTATTCAAATCACGCAACAAAAATACAGAAACAATGCGCCAAAAGTGAAAAATAAATAAATCTATAGCAGCATGGTCCTATTGGCAGAGTGGTTCTGATGAGAGTGAGGTTAGCAACATGATACTGTTAGCAGTGAGGTTTGGTTAGCAAGATGGTCCAGTTGGCACCATGGTACTGTTAGCTACGTAGTCTTGTTAGCAGCGTTAGCAGGTCTTGCAGGTCCAGTCAGCATCGTGATGATAATAAGGACAGCAGTAGCTGCCTCCCAGACTGCTCTCCAGCACTGGGTCCGGCAGACGGAGAACATCCAAGGTTTCCCCGCGGAACCCAACGGGTCCGTAGAGTTCGGTCCGTGCAGGCAGATGGAGGATCATGGAGACATCCGCCATGACAGGCCAGAGCCTGAGGCTGGAAGGACTGAACCATGATGACAAGGCAGCAACACAGAAGACTCCACAAGTGTGTCGCGGTCATACCCATACTGTGGATGTGCAGTGTAGGCAAAAAAAAAAAAAGTCTAAACTGAAACAACAGGAACAACAAAAGATCGAGTTCACCGGGAGCCTGTG